ATTGTATGTTAATAAATAAAGTTGCCTGGGGGTCAGAGCTATTAGAACCATAACAAGAGCTTGGTGGTGGTAGCGCATGCCTTTAATCCCAGCGCTTGGTAGACAGAGCTAGGTAGATCTCTGTGTGTTCAGGGATACAGCCAGCATTGGAGACATATGCCTTTAAGACCTGGAGGGCTGTACTTACAGGCAGTGACGTGGTAGTCATGTTTGGGTTTACAACCAATGAGAAGGCAGAACAGAAAGACTATGTAAAGACATACACACAGGAAGTAGGTCTCTTTCGGAGAGATAGGAGTACCACAGGAGGAAGGGTAAGATTTGAGCTCTGAGCTCTGACCTCTTGGCTTTCTCTTTACATTGGTTCTGTGTTTCTTATTTAATAAGACAGTTGGTTACATCTACAGGGAAAAAAGAAGAATTTGTCTGAAGTAAATGTCTGAGGAATAAAAGAAGGTTATAGAGAGTCAGGATAGGATGTGAACTATGTTTGTTGTGGTTTCTTGTCCCTGAAAATACTGAAGTTGAAAGTTAATTCTGGATGGTTTTCATTTTAAAATTAGCTGATGATTTTTCACAGCAAAATATTCATGTTAAAAATGGATATATATATATATACACATTATATATATGTTTGTGTATGTGGACACATGTGAGTTGGATTTAACTCTTCATGTAAATGTAAGCAAGCTTTAACTCTATGTAAATTTTAAAGCTGCACCTCAATGCTTTTATAGTCACAAATATACCTTGCTCTGGCAGCTAAGCTTTCTAATTTAAGATTTACACATGTAATAAAGTGATAATGGTTTTAAAGACATGAAGGGACCATAGGAAATAGCTGAGGTTTACAAATGTATGGCAGGGCTAGAGTTCCAAAGAGAATCCAGCTGCAATGGTGAACCTTAGCAATTTTGAAAGTGCCAGTGCCAGGTGATAATCACCAGAAGCCCCAGCCACAATAAAATAGAGTAGGCAGGCTATGTATGTGCTGCCAAGGGTAGGGTCAAAGAAATCATCCAAGCCTCTAAGTAAAAGAACCATAAGGATTGTGAATGATTCCACATATTGACCTTTGGGACTATTTGCACTTTGGAGCTTGGTTTTACTTTATACAGATTGTGGTGATGCCATATTCTGTGGTGGTATTGTGTTCCCCAAAATATTGTGCACCCTAATAAACTTATCTGGGGTCAGAGACAGAACAGCCACTAGATACAAAGGCTAGAAAATGGTGGCACTAATACCTTTAATCCTAGCATTTCAGAGGTAGAAATCTCTCTGGATGTCTGTGAGTTCAAGGCCACATTGGAAAAAGCCAGGCATGGTGACACGTGCCTTTAATCTCAGAAAGTGAGCCTTTAATCCCAGGGAGTGGTGGTAGAAAGGAAAGATACATAAGGCATGAAGACTAGAAACAAGAGGCATTTGGCTGGTTAAGTTTTTAGGTTTTGAGCAGCACAGTTCAGCTGAGAGCCATTCAGATATGAAGACACAGAGGCTTCCAGTCTGAAGAAACAAGACCAGCTGAGAAGTTGGCCAGGTGAGGTTAGCTGTGGCTTGTTCTGTCACTCTGACCATCCAGCATTTCACCCCAATAATTGGCCCCGGGTTTGATTTTATTAATAAGACTCTCTAAGATTCCTGCTACAATGGTCTCTCCCTCTTAAAGTAAAAGAAGATACGTAAAAGAAGATTGAAGAAAAACATTCGGGAAGAACAGTTTTTATAATACTTTTTATATATTTATATAAGGCTATGGAACATTTTCAGTTTCTAAAATTGCTCTATATGTTAATATTTGGACTTAAAATAAAAGGCTAAAAATTAGGGTCACAGCCATAAGCTCCAAATGCTAGCCAGGAACTGGGATGTTCATTTCTTGTGATGCAGCAAGACAGTGACCTAGGCAAAGGACCTGGATCAGCTTCTGACTCCATGAGTCTTGACCCTTTGAGGGTTGAAAAATCTTTTTACAGGGGTGGCCTAGGACCAACTCTATGTCAGAAGTTTACACAGAGATTAAACCAGTGACTTGTAGAATATTTCTCCTTATACAAGGTACATTTAGGCCCAAGAATGTTGTCTAGCCTCCTTATATTTGCTAAATTTGTTAAGCTTAAGCTATTGGGACAAACTGATTCATATGTATGTTTTATATTGATGTTTTGTCTTGGTTTCTTTACACAACATGCATTTGATGGTAGAAGAACTTCAATTTAAATCATTGTTTTAAAGCTACTTATTGTAGACTCTTTAAAAAAACATAAGTAAATAGTCAAAAATCATCTTTTTTTTTCAATATAGTCAGGGTAAGTACAGATGTAATATTACAAGGATAAACTTTACTCAGTCCCTTGCATGTTTTCAGGATTGAGCTTAAAACAGGTAACTAAAAACAAAGATTGTCTATTCAGATATACCTAGACAGCCCTCATACTTCAGAGATCTGCAGAATATGGCATTTAAAATGTTGATCTAAAAGCTTATTATATCAGACAGATTTCCATCCTAACAGAAACCCAAGGTCCCCAAAGAAGATTATGTGAGGCACCACAACATCTCTGCCTGGATTATGGCAACACTGTCCACAGGAAAAGATGCCCCAATACAATGCCTGCTGCCAGGATCCGACCCAGACTGGACAAGCAGTAGGACACAGGAATTGATTGTACCCTTTTGTGTGGATAAAGTAAGATCAGTTTTCCATTTCCCTATTCCATGCGGGGGGGGGGGGGGGGGGAACTGCCTTATGGGCCTGATGAGAGGAGAAAATTGACGCTATTCTGACTGGTGTCTCCAACCTAACTGGCACCTTCTCTCTCAACCTCTCCTGTGCTTTGCTGCCCGGACCTATAGCAGCCTCGGGCTGAGGCAGTGCCTGCTGGGAGATACTGGATCGAGTCCCAGAACTCTACTCTGCCCTCCGACTCTTCTCAGCCAGGATTTCCCACCTTTTCTCACACACACAATTTTCACATTCATTTCTGAATCACATCATGTAGGTAAAAACAGTTTTTTGCCTTGTTTTACTGTATTTATAGATTAGTTTGGAAAATAAATCCTTATACTAATTTTAATTTTTGAAATATTGTTTCTAGCTATTACACTAATCCTGGTCTGCTGAGCTCTTTATTGTAACCAAAGAAATTTGATATATGGAGAAACTGAGGTATAATAGTGAAAGGCCCAGTTCATGGGACTACAACACAGCCCGTCTTCACATTTAAGGCTTTTTAGGTGCCCTTATCACCGTTTAAAAATCTCCTTCAAAGTGTGTTTTCAGTGATTTTCCATTAGCTTTTTTTCTGACTCTGTATGTAAGGAAAGTTTGGGGGTTTATACCTTGAATTATTATAAAAATTTAACTTGCTGGGTTCTCTTATGGGCTCAGTAGTATTTGAGAAGGTTGTTTTTCTCGTCCTAAAACACACAGTCTTCACTACATATTAGAGCTTCTTCTACAATAGTAAATTGCTCTTTTTTCTCAAAACATCTCTCAAACCTCGCCATCGGGGGGAAATGGGATTTGGTTCCTTCTCTCATCTGATGGGTTCCTCCGTAACTGGATTCACCTCACTTGGGAGACTGAGACACACCTCTGGGGTGTTGATGAGGGGATGAGGGGGCACACACCATGAAGGTAGGTGTGCCATCCCATGGGCTGTGAGAGCCAATATGAATAAAAGAAGGGGGAAAAAGAGGTGTGCATTCTCTCTCCACGCCCTGACCCACCATGATATGAACTAAAGTGCTTCACACATGCCCCCACAGGAGTCAAAACAAGTCCTTTCTCTTTTGTAAGCCAATTCCATTGGGGATTTTGGTCATGGCAGTGAACTAATGCAGGCCTCTAATTCTTCTCTCCCATACCTGGAGTTGCTATGCCATATTTATTCTAGCAGAAGCCATTCTCCTTTAATATAGTCTTAGATCGGATCCTTTAAGATGGTCTGTGTCTCCCCTATTTCCTCAAAGTCCAAGCTTGAATGGTCTACTCCTCCACCAGTCTATGTTCCAGTTTGTTTCTGAAGAGGTATTTAGTAGTACAACCCCCAAGTCTAGGTAACACCATCACATGGGCAGGATATCAGGGAAATAGGATCCTGCAGTGAGGGAAAGCTGTTCACATCATGGATGACCAGGAAGCAAAACTGGGGGATGCTGGGTCTCAGCTGGCTTTCTCCTTCCCCCATTTTTTTGTTCTACCAGACCTGCAGCCCATGGAGAGGGTGCCACTCCCAGTGGGTCTTCTACTTCTGTTCTCTTAGGAAACACACTCGAGACACACCTTGACATGCCTCAATAGCAATCTAAGTGATTCTGAACCTGGTCAAGTGGACAACTACACTTACTAGGGGAGGAGAGTTTCCTAGGGACCAACTCAGCTTCTCATAGGAAGGGGCAGTGTCACGCTAAAGGGACTGGTCACTCCTTAGGATTCCTTAGGAATCCAAGCAACTTCCCTGGACAGATCTCTTGTCCAGAAGCAATCTCAAGTCACAAACCCCTGACATGGCATGGTGTCTGCAGTCATCTATAGTCCAGTGTGCAGATGTCAGGGATGCTGCTGTTCACCCTGTGTGTTCACTGTGGACATCTTACAACAATGCAGGATCTGACACAAATTCTCTTCGTGCCCACTTCAGAAATCATGCTCCAGGTAAAGGCCCAAAGACAGTCCTAACTTGCTCTTGAAGCTATCATATATATCCATATGTACAGAATTCTTTCCAACCCCCCAACATTTCTGCACAGAAAAGGGGGAAACAGTTCTGGGTTTTAAACCTGCCTTTCTCCTCCTGTGTCCCTGTCTCCACTTGTGTGAGTTGCTGCTCTCTCATTTTCTGGTCTCAGAGAATCCCTAGTCATTTGTGAACTTGTGTCCCAGGGCTGGTCTTACAGCCTGCTGCTGTTGTCTTGTTTGGGACTTTACCTTTCCCCAGACCATAAATATATTTCTCTATATTTTCTACAAACACTTGCTCTAAAAAAAAGGTCTCAGCTGGGCAGTGGTGGCTTGTGCCTTTAATTCCAGACTCAGGAGGTAGAGGTAAGAGGATCTCCAAATTTGAGGTCAGCCTGGTCTACAGAGGGAATTCCAAAACAACCAGCACTACAGAGAGAAACCCTGTCTCAAAACACACACACACACACACACACACACACACACACACACACACACACACAGAGAGAGAGAGAGAGACAGAGAGACAGACAGAGACAGAGACAGAGACAGAGAGACGGAGAGAGAAGGGGGGTTATTATGTAGTCCAGACTGGTTTTGAACTCATTACATAGTCAATGATCACCTTAACTTTTGATTCTCCAGTCTTGACATCTCAAGTGCTGAGGTTCTAGCATGTGCTCACACACCTTCTGTGACACATTGCTATGCAATACTGAGGGATCAACTTAGAGCACTGTGTATTCTAAGTGAGCATGTGACCAACTGAGCTCCAGCCCCAGCCCTCTAAGGGCCTTTATAGACTCACTCTGTAAAGCTGTACCTTCCATCTGATGACAGTTTCTCCTTGTGAATTGTGTCAGAGTGGATGCCTCTCTTTCCTGTGGACCAGCTGAAGAAAGGACATGTTCACAGAACCTGGCCTCTGTCCCCTTTCATTTACCCCCTGATCATCTGGTGTCTTATGAACAAGGACACTTTCTCCTTCTGGTCTTCAGTGAATCAGTGTGCCTCCTGCATTGACACCATAGGTCATGGACCACAATCCCTCCCTCCATGTGATGCCACAGCTTCTGAGCCTATTCTCAGCCCAGTTTCATCCAGCTCCCACACAGGCCACCTTTCAGACCATCCCCCAAATACTCTGCTGCTGAAATGGTCCAGTTACCACCCCCCAGAGTGTAAATGTCTAGAAGAGATTGCAAAATGTTCCTGTCATATTTGGGGACCACTTTCCACTTTCCACACCAAAATCTGGATAAGGACACAAGGGCTAAGTAAAAGCAGAAAAGTTTAATTAGTTAAAAACAAGTTTCTGGGTGGAGGTGAGGGTAAGATCACTTTTAAAAGCCAAGAACTGAACATGTGGGAGAAGCACACCAGATGTTCCCTGCACATATCCCAAGGTGCCCTCAACTACTGAGCACAACATCCTCTGCCCAGCAACAGGTCAACTTCTAGCCAGAGTTGGTACCTTAGAGATGAGCAGGGCATGGAGTGTCCATCCATTCCTGCTCCAGAGGCACCTCCAGATCAGTGCAACCTGAGGTACATGCTGCACTGGGAGCCCAGGAGAGGCATTTGAATGGAGGAGGGGTCTATAGAAAGACCATCTGGGAAGCCAGCATCAGAGGCAAATGGGGGCAAGAAAACCCCAACTGTACCCATCATGGGAGAAGGATCAGGACTCAAACAGGCTCAGGACTCAGACAGGCCAGGCTCCAGAAGCAGATCATCTCAAGCTGAGGTCACAGCAGGGTTGGAGGGAGTGCCTAACGGGGGACCTGAGGAACAAGCAGAGGATTAGATGCAGAAAACCTTCACTAGGGTCCAAGGGGGAGGGGCCTGAATGACTACCAAGACCTAGAGAAGACCAGGGAGAGACTGCTTAGGAAATCTCTGCAGAACTGGGTGCTGGATCCACAGGCTGTGCTCCAGCCAGTTCAGTCTAAGTCCTGCCCATGGGCCAAGCCCTACCCAGCAGGGCAGAGCTGCTACCAAGCTGGGGGAGATGCCTAGTATAGGTCCTCTTGGGTAGATGCCATACAGCACTCCAATGTGATCAAACTTGTGAGCCAAGATCACTAGGTTTCAGTCTGATCACTGCCACCCCAGGTTTCTGTAGTCTTAGGACCTGCATTCCAACAACCTGAGCCTGTTTACTTAGCTGCGAAGTGCAACATTAGACACACAGTATTGTTTCCAGGGCTCAGTGGTGACTCTGATTCAGTGAGGTCCTGTGCTTACTCTGGGTGTCAGCTCACAGTACTTATATCCAAAAGAGAAGAGTGAGGGTTGGCTGCACAGGGAAGTTCAGGGAGAGAGAGCAGTACTACCTTTCTTTAAAGAGAATAAGCACGTTGGTGTCTGTCTTACCAGCAGGGTCCTCAAAAGTTAGGATCAGTTCCTCTGAGTTGGCGTGCTGCAGGAAAGGGAGCAGCCATCAGGATCCTGGGTGACACACATCTAGCCAGCTCTAGGACAATCACCCATTCAGACTTGAGGCAGCAGAAAAGGTTAAGGGGTAGAAGGGGATCTGGTCTGTGGATTCTGTAGTCAGAGGGAAGCCTACCCAACTAGACAGAGGTCCCCACATGTGTGTACAGATGCACTCTCTCCCTCTCCCTGCCTTTCTCCCTCTGTTGTACTAATTGCCTTCCCTTAAATAGGGATGTCAACAGCAAAACTGTCTTCAAGAAATCCCTAAAAGTGACCAGATTCACCAGGCCCCACCCCTTTCAGAAGAAGCAGAGCCAAGCCTCAAAGACTCTGAGACAAGAGAAGCAACCCCGAAGAAGCAGAAACCAGCCAGGCTGCCTGGAAGGGTTACCCCAACTGAGGCACCTGGAAAGGACACTCTATAACCTGCTGAGCTTCCTGCAGGCTGAGCAGTGTGCTCCAGGGTCTGGCTTTTGTGAGCTGTCTGTCACCCATGCTGGGGTGGGCTTTGGTGATGCAGCTCTGTGAGTCATTTCTGCTCCTGTAAGTGATCCCTCACCAAAATCCTATATGTAAACCCAATAAAGCTCATTGCCTCACCAAGATGGACTTTGCAGGTATCTGTACTTTGGTCTGTTGTGATTTCCCTATCAGCAACGAATAGACTAGTATGTTTTGTCTCCCCGGGAAAAGTTATATCACACAACAACCCTCCCAAAATTGTCTCCTATGAATGAACCCTGTTAGAGCAGTTGTAGATTTGAGTGAAAGAGAGATAAACACCTCCTGGGGGAGAGCTGGTCCTGCCCCTCACCAGCTGCAGTACTTGGGAGATTGGCCCCTATGCCACACCTGGGAACACAACAGAGCTGACCCTGGAGGTGTAGATGTAGAAGATTGACCCTGAGCATCTGAAAACAGGAGAAATGGCCCCACCCCTTGCTCTCTGCTGCAAGGGGAGAACTAGCCAGGAGGATGCAGGGGATGTCAACCTGGTGATGAAGACAAGGGAGACCTTATGGGCAGACCAACCCTGCAACTACTCAGACCCAGAACCAGTGTTATGGGTTGACCCACCGCAATATCCACCCCATCTATGGTCTCCTGGAGCATGTGGAGGGACCAGTCCTGCAGACCCAAAGATGCAGGGATTTCCACAACACGGTGCAACACAGGATGACTCAGAGGAGTTCCTGTGAATGTCCAGCATAGACAGTGTAGCAGAAACCAGAGACCTCGAGCCAGAACAATGACTCTCTGCAATGGACACTTTCAAGTAAAGATACATGGATAAAGTGTTCACTGCGTGACTCACTGTGTCACACTACAGCTCCCATGATGAGACTGATTTTTTCCTTTTTTCTCTTAAATTTTATTTTATTTTATTTTGGGGGAAGGTTCAAGGGCAGAGGATGCATACGAAGGGACAGGGAAGGGAATGGGATGGAGATGCATGATGGGAACAACACAAAGAATAAATAAAAAGAAGGTGAGAGACAGAGACACAGAGAGAGAGACAACCTCGCTGGGGATGGGACACGGTGAAAATCATTTGCCATATGACACCCCAGCCTCTGCAGCTTTCACCATGAGGAACCAAATACTTACCTGGATATGGTCGTCTATTTTCCAGAATGTTGAGTCAACCCCCCTGTATACTGTCAGGGAATATTTCTGCCATATACGGGGAAGACAGGCTGAAACTGTGGTGTAGAAGGTTGTGGACTGCAGGCTGGATCTGTTCATCTGCCACAACTGGACAGTCAACGAGCCTCCGTGCTGAAGGGAACAGAGGGAGAGGTGCATTAGGGACAGGTCCCAGCAGCCAGGGCTGGTGCTGGCCTGGCTTTTTTGCTGCAAAGGTCAGGATCAGAGGATAATGTTCCAACAGCCCTAACCATAGTCTTGTCCCCAACACCTAAGTCATCCCAGGACCTGGCACGTCTGTTGCTCTTCTGCCCCATCTGACCCAGTACTCCCTCCAGCATCCCTGCTCATCCCCAGTGCATCTCCCATACTGCAGCCACAGTCTTCAGCCACACAGCACCTTTCCTGGTACTGGGTTGGCCCCTGGGGCTCTGTCTCAGCCATTTTCAGAGATTTCAAATTTCTCCTTTGAAAAATAAGACAGACACTGGGGAGATGGCTCCATAGGTAAGTGTGCTTGCTGCACAGACATGAGGACCTGGGTGTGACTCTTCAACACCCATGTAAAAAGTCACAGTCATGCATGTGCCAGTGCTGTGGAAAACTGAGGCAGGAGGATCACTGGGGTTTCCTGGCTGCCAGTCTAGCTCCAGATTTGGTGAAAGATGCTGTCTCAAGGGGATAAGTTGGAGAGAGTTAGAGCAGCTACCTCAACATTCATCATGCTTCTACTACCCCCCCCACACACACATACATACTCATGTGCTCAGATCAATGGCTTTACCAAAAGAAATGCAATGTAGTGTGGATGGAGAAATTCACATGTCTTTAATGAATGCAAACCATAAACCTGAGCCAGTGTAGAAAGCCTTGAAGTTTAAAAAGTCACCATAGCCAGGCATGGTGTTGCAAGCCTTATTCTCAGAACTGAAGAGGGAGAGGCAGGTGGACCTCTGAGTTGGAAACCAGTTTGGTCTACAGAATGAGTTTCAGGTCAACCAGGACTGTTACTCAGAGAAATCTTGTCTCAAAGGAAATGAACAAACAAAAACAAAACAGAAAGAAAAAAGTTGCTATAAACCATAACCAAGTGCCAGGTGTGACCACACAGCAGAAAACATGTCACCGTTGACCTTCCAATGTGCTCCTGTCTTCCTGAGAAATCCCTGCATTCTTATAAGCTGAAGATGCACACCCTCACCTGTGACACTGTGGCACATCACTTCCTGATTATTGCCCTAACTTTTGTGTGAGAGTTGCCCCTCTGTGTATATTCTGACTTTAGGTTGGGAGGGAAGGGGGATAGCCAAGAAGGGACAAGGGCCCACACTGACTAGACACCTGCATTTGTAATAAAAAAGTTTTATTCAGAACGACCATTGCATCTGGATGCTTTGCACTGTGTTGGCTCAGGGAGTGTTCCCAAGTCCTCAGTGCCTGCAAAATCAAAGTTTCCCTCTGAGGCCTCTGATTGAAAAAGCTGCTGATCCTGGCTGAGATCATACTGAGACGTTTTTGTCCCAATCTCCAGTGTATGTGAAAACTCATACACACACACTCACACTCTGACACACACACACACACACACACACACACACTCACATACACAATCACTCACACACTCACTGACAAATACACAAACTCACACATACATACACTCAAACATACATACATTCACACATGCAAACACACACACTGGTGAGTGTGTGGATGTTGTGAGTGAATATGAGAGTGTTTGTGTGTTTGTAAAAGAATATGAGAGGATGTAAATGTGACTGTGTGGGAATGTGTGTGTGCGAATGTGAGTGATTGTGAGACTGTGACAGTGTTTGTGTGAGAGAGATTGTGTTTTAGAGTAATGTGTGAGAGAATGAATGAGAGTGCAAGAGGTATACAGTGCATGAGAGTGTGAGAGGGTGTGTGAGAGTGTGTGGGAGAGAGTGTATGTCTGAGATAGTGTGTGTGAGAGACTATTCGTAAGAAAGTGTCTGTGAGAGAGACTGTGAGCATGTGAGGATGTGAGAGTGTGTGTCACAGAGTGTCAGAGTGAGTGTGTGAGAGAGTGTAAATGAGTGTGTAACAGTGTGTGAAAATGTGTGAGAGAGTATGAGAGATAGAGTGAGAGAGGGTGAGAGTGTGTGAGAGAGTGTAAACATAGGAGTGAGAGACAGTGATTGTGAGAGAGTGTAAGTGTATCAGTGTTAGAGTATGAGACAGTGTGAGTGTGTGAGAGAATGTGAGTGTGAGAGAGAGTAACAGAGTGTGAGAGTATGCATGTTGTAAGAGAGTATGTGTTATAACTGTGAGTGAGTGAGTGTGTAAGTGGAGTATGTGTGATGTGAGTGTGAAGCGTGTGAGTGTTATGCACATGTGTGCCAGCCTGAAGAGGCCAAAGGAGAACTCAGGTGTCTGCTCAGTCACTTTCCCCTGAAGCCTTTGGAGCAGGGATTGTGTCGACGCCCCCACAGCACTGAAGTCACAGGCAACAAAGCCACAGGAGGCTTTTCATGTGGCTGCTGGGATCTGAACTCGGGCTCACAGGGCTCTGTTGTCAAGGTTTATTTATTTCCTTATGATCTGTGTGCTTGTTGGAGACAGGATCTCTGTGTAGACCTGGCTAGCCTGGAATTGGCTATGTGGGCCAATCTGGCCTTGAACTTAGAGAGATGTGCCTGCTTCTGCCGTGTGTGTGTGTGTGTGTGTGTGTGTGTGTGTGTGTGTGTGTGTGTAAAAAGTAACAATGTAAGCTACTTCTTAGTATACTAAACAAGAGAGAGAGACAGACAGAGACAAAAAAAGACAGACAGACAGACAGACAGAAATAGGAGGGAATGAAGGAAGAAGGGAAGGAGGAAAGAGAGAAGTTCAATGTTGGGCCTGGTGTTGCAACCTGGGATCCCAAACTACACAGGAGGTTGAGGCAGGAGGATCACAAGTCCCAGGCCTGCCTGAAGCACAAAGTGAGTTCCAGTGCCACTCCAGGGGGCACTGCCTGTCATGTGTCCCTTAGCAACAGCTTTGCCTGGGGACCTCAGGTTCTCTCTTTCCCAGCAGCCATCAGATGAGCCCCGCCCCTTTTACACTCAGCTGTCAGCAGCTCTTCTGATTGCCACACCTGCCCCTCCATGCACACTTGGGGCCAATAGCTACTTTAACCCGAGATGGCGGAAAGGCACCTGACTCCATTTGAATTTAATTGACTACACAATGTTCCCCATGGCAGCCGCTTCATTTACATCCTCAACAACAGAATTCTTTTCTGGGTGTTTTTTTTTTTGTTTGTTTGTTTGTTTTTTGTTTTTCTTTTTTTTTTTTTTACTAAAAATAATTGGTCCACAACATTTTCATCCTTTGGTGTAGGTTTAAAGAAAAACACTTATCTACTAATTTTTTTTAAATGATGCAATAGGTGAATTACCCCTTGTTAGGTTTTAAACCTGGGACAAACTGAGGTCCATTATCATATCATGTCAGCACCAGATGACTGGAAAGAAGAAAAAAAGGAAGGACTTGACTGCTCCCAGGTATGGTGGAGGAGAAGGCTTGTTGTAGATAAAGGAAGAGCATAGACTGAGGCAGAGACATCTGGAGAGTCCAGAGTGACCAGGACTGTGAGCCTGGCCATGGGAAGATGGGGGAGGGGAGGAGAAGGAGAAGAAAGAGGAGAGGGGAGAGGAGATGCCAACCAAGTGGGGGGGTGGCCTGGACCATAGACATAGAAGAAATGGCTGAGTTACATATGAGCCAGAGGAGGCAGGGGTGGGGAAGGAGGAGGCAGCAGGAGGAGGCACAGACCCCAGGCTGGAGAGTTCAGGGTGGAGGGCAGGGTAAGCTGGCCATACTCTGTGACAAGTAGGACTGAGGGATACTGGGAGAAACCAGAGGCCAGCGTCCACTTTGCCATGTTCATGGGCACCACAGCTATTTTTTCAGGCATAAGAGGGAACAGCCTCAC